TGAGACTAATCCCCTCCCCCCTGGAGGAAAGAGGCATGTCCTCTGGCCCCCAAAGATTTTTCAAGAATTTGCTTGAGACGGGGTTTGAATCTCTAATCCAAGCAAATCCTTGGGAGCTCAGTTGCCAACTGAGCTACCCTTGGGGGTTATCTCGTCCCCTATTTTAGATAGCGTTATCTTTCTATAAGTTGTAGCTAGACATACAATTTGATAAAAAAGAAAGCGAGCCCGGAGCAGTGGTAAAGCTGCTCTTTTGTGATCAAAAGATTACAAGTTTGAATACAGAAAACAGCCTCATTGCAAAAATATAAGGATAAGGCTGTGTACAAGAATTTCCTTATCTCTACCCTCGCAAGTCGGGGTTTCATGAAGAGCTCTTAATACATTTTGATGAATCAATCTGTATTTGATATTTTTCTGTGTTCATCTATCTGCTAGATGTTTCTGCATCATTTCTTTTTATTCATTGTTTGCTCTCTTTTTTAATTTTTCCATGTATTCACAGGGTACTGATTCTGGTGTTGACACTTACTTTGGTTTTTGCACCTATCCTGGACGGGAGTTGCGGCACCGTATTGATTTAAAGGTGATAGATGGTATATCTTTTCATACAATGTCTGATGAAGGCTCATGAGTGTTTAAAAATTTGTGGATTTTCCAGATTATTTTCCTCTTTCTTCCTACATGTACTATTCAACATCAACATTACCATTACCCCAAACTAGAGTCAATGGACCCTATAAAAGCAAGAACACATTAAGGAAATTATGACATGTACTATTGCATATTTGTATTTGTGCTGTTGTATTGCCATGTTTTTTTTCGTATTTTACTACAGGGGTTATTCAAAATTTAGTATTGTCTTCAATTTCTTGTTTTGGTCAAATACTTAGAAGTTAGCACTAAACCATAGTATAATGCGGTAAAAATATAAATGCATTCCTCTGTCTTTCCTACTGCTGGTTGTACTTTGTTGCGTGGCCAACTTTTAGCAGCACAGACTAATTATTTATGGACATCTCAGAAGTACATATGATTAATTTTAAGATTTTGGCAGGTGTACCCAAGAGACATATATGCTTTTGGACTTATAGCTTGGACAGGAAATGATGTATTAAACAGGAGGTATGCTTGCTTCTATATGCATCGAACTTTCCATCTCTAAAAGTTTTGGCCATTTTACCTCTCATAAAGAAGTTCAAAATAGTTTCTTCAGGATTTTTCTTTTGATAGTGTATTAGACTACTTGCTTACACATATGTACTCATTAATATAGTGAATGCTTGCAGAAGTGAAATGTATATTTAATAATACTAATAAAAGAGAAAGGAGATAGAAATGCGGGTACCATGACTATTTCCCCAATGACAAGCAAACCTCACTTTGGTATATTTTATTAAAAAAAAAATGCTGAAATGTTGGATCTTAGAAATTGGCTATCAGAAGTGAGCCAGATGGCATCTTAATTTCAGTGTCTTTGTGTCTAACACAGGGATATCTTTCCAGAAATCTACTAATCTTACATTGTATCTTTTTTTTCTTTTTTCTTTTTTGGAAATATTTTTCAATTTTTATTTCTTTTCTTTTTTTTTGTGTAAAGAATGGATGCTTTGATAACCATACTTTATTACCAATTTGATGGGGCATAGTCAATGCCTTGTTTATCTATTTCATCATTTTCTTTATCATCTATTGCTGGGGAGTTATTGTGCTTTTTCTTTTTTTGGGTGTTTTAATACAGGTTGAGACTGCAAGCTGAATCTAAAGGATTCCGGCTTGATGATACTGGGCTGTTTCCTGCTACTCAGGGTTCTGGTGGCAAACGGGTATTTTTTTTTTTTTTCAATAATTTTTTTTTTAAGGACTATGTCCTGATTTCCGTGAATTAGCTAGTATATTTATGTTGCAGGGTGCAAAAGGTAGTGCAAGTTTGAAATTTTATACAGAAAAGGAGGTGTTTGATTTCCTGGGCTTTCCTTGGCTCGAACCACATGAAAGAAATCTCTAAATATGGGAATGGTTTGTGTACTCGGTGCAGCACCCTCTTGTGCTGTTGGAAAGTGGTCTCCTTGGTTCTGGTGCGCTACACTATGCATTCCACCTTGTAGAATGTGATGTATCTAACGAAAGGCTTTTTCTTTTGGGGTCCAAATTTTTTTTTTTTGCTGGGTGCTGCTTTGTAAAATATGTAGGAAACAAGTTTGCAGTGTTGTAGACTTCAATATATGTTGTGTACAAAAATAGGTCAATGGGATGAGTGCAGTTTTGCTTTAGGGATTTGTTAATGTTATAAGTTCAACTTCATGATTACAGACACTAATTAAAACAAGGTGATCTCAAAAGATTAATGAAAGGTATTGAGCTTAAAGATAAATTGTTCTAGATGTGTACTCGGAGTTTTCTTTCTCGTGAAGCACAATGTGGTACTTTGATTGTTCACTGCATGCAAACACTGCTGATTACATTGTAGCTATTTCCTACCAAATAAACTGTCTCTTCTTGGGAAATAAAGCTGGAGCATGCTGAAAATGATAACTTCCACCGAAGAGAATGGTACCTTGAACATCCATTCTAGCAAATAATAATTTCAAACAGCCTAGGAAGAAAAGACACGAAAGTGTTACAAGGAGACCCTTTTCCATTGTCTGAATATCAAGATAATCTAACCTAACAAAATTACCACTAATGTCACTGTACCTTGACTGCACCTCTTCTTATCCCCATTTCTCTCTTTCTCTTGTTGGTTCACAAGGCCTCTGCCATTCTACCCATCATCCCAGTTAACACACGGTACAATAATAACTCTGCAGAACAAAGATGTTCACCTTTCCTGGACTGAATGGATTGACCCAAAAAGAATATTTGCGATTTTGGGTCAGGTTCTGGTGTTTATTGAGCCCTATAATCTTGCATAAGTGTGACAAGCATTGGGTTGCCAGAAAATGCACCAATCTCTGTTTGTTGTGTCTATGAAAACCATGCAGAACTTTTAAACTTAAGTGACTAAATATAATATACAAAAACAACAAACTAAACTCACCTGGATCTGGTCCTCTGAACGACAAATTAAAAGTGAAGGGTGTGTGATTTGTATTTACTTTTAGAGGCTACATTTCAAAAAGTTTTGGAACATTTTGTGAACCAAATAGTCTGCTTCTTGACATAGTTTTCTGTAGGAAATAAAATTTTATGATGTGTATAGTGCATATGTTCCAATCAACCTCTGACTCCAACTTTAAATTCTACCAAAATGGTGAAGCCTTTGCTTCGGCCCCATTTGAGATTTCTATTGTTAGCTAAGCTCCATTAGAGAGCTTGTTTATGTTGTTGGACTACAATTTTACATCATGTACTCCAAGTCCCAATGGCATGGGATTTGAACCTCCTTGAAATCATCATGAGAAGAAATATAATAATATATACATTCTTCTCAGTGATATTTATTTACTCCGTGATGTAGTTATGCTCATATGTTCTAGTTGTATAACTTAAAATTTGATAAATTTAACAATCTCTTATTTATGATAATGTTAAGTGGGAGAAAGTATGTCTTCTATGGAGAATCCTTTGAAGTAATTGTAGGTAGGGGTGTAAATGGGCTGGGCTTTGGCCATCCTAGTCCAAGCCTATGTCAAAAAAAATTCAGCCTATCTGGCCTATTAAAGGCTTTATTTGTAGGCCAAGCCCGGTCCATTTTCAAAAATAAGAAAGCCTGACATGGCCTACAGGCCTTGTAGGCCTCCCACTATATATACTAAGCAAAAAAAATAATTGTATAGAGCAAAGAAAGTTTCATTCATGCATACACTAGTACTTCTCATAAGAAAAAAATGATAAACAAGAAAGTGTCAACATAATACCTCAGCTCTAGAATGTATATCATAGAGGAATAGAGTCAAAGAAATGGGAAAAATAAGAAAAATACAATTACTGGATGCTGAAATAAAGTCTACAAGAGAATGTCATTCATCTAAAAATCTTTAAACCACCATCAAGACAAGGGAAAGAAGAGTATTATTGAAAGATCTTCATCAGTAACATCATAATCCAGCAAGGTACCCATTGCTCCATGGTATTAAGCTGCAACAGCATGTAAAATTTGGAGACATTAGACAAGTTTTCCTTTCATAAAATAAAATAGCACTAAAAGTAAGAGATATTGATATTTGGTATTTTGTGTCTTTGCCACATAAAATAAATATCTTTTATTATTTTATTTTAATAAATTAAATAGGTCAGCCTACAAGGCTGTAGGCCGAACTTGACAAAATTGGCCTATAGCCTATTTATTGAAAAAGCTTTTTTATAAGTCTAAGTCTACTCTACTTTTCTGAAAGGTCAGGCCTGGGCTGGGCTCAATGTAGACCGGGTCGTAGGCTGGGCTAGGCCAGCCTGACCCATTTACACCCCTAATTGTAGGAGTTTGCATCCTTGTGAACTTCCTTTCCAAAATATTCAGTTATTTTAAATAATTTGGTTGCCCATAACAGTATCTGTTTGTCTTTGGCAGAAAGTAGTTAGTCCCTTTCATTTTTTCTAACTGGATTTTACTCTCCGTCTAGTTCTGTGTCAAATTATGTTTCCATTTTGTTCTCGTGGATATTATGTTTATATTAATCTTGTAAAAGATTCCATTTCTATGACTCATGAATGTAAAGTTACTAGTCTCTCAAAACATATATGTGTGGCAACAATAATTGGGACGTTTTTTATAGTCACAAATTTTTTTATACATAGTCACAATTTCTTAATAAACAAAGCGTAACCAAATAATTATTGAGTATCCTGAATTTTTGGATTTGTCATATTTGTATCTATTCAAGAAATATATTGCTCATGTGCATTTCGTTATATACGTGATGTGTCAATAACGGGTTACTTTAGGTTTCCCCTTCTTATTAAGAAGTTGCTGTCACATAATTCGCATCATAAATACTAAATTAAGTATCTCTAAGGATTTTGAAGCGAAGACAGTTTCGTGGGATCCTGATTGCAATTCTATAAACTAAATTAAAAGTGAGCCCTTGTCGGGCCTGAGTTACAAGGAAGGGGTCTACAAACTTCAATGTATAAAATTATCCATCAATATATACTCTCTCTTTTTTTAAAAAAAAAAAACCTTCTTACATAAGACCTTAGACTTATCCCTATGAACCTGAATTTTTAGCTGTCGAACCTCTCCTACCAATTAAAGACTTTTTAATACATTGACCGGAAAATAAAAGAGATCGAATAACAAATGAGCAAATAATACAAATCTCTTAAAATTGTACATGTACATATTGTCTGCCAAAATTTCAGACCTGAACTTTATTACTCACTTAGCTGAAAGATACAAACAATGCAATCTTCAGACGCCACCTGCTGTAACCATCGCGATTTTTTTATTCTCAAATTTCACAGAGTTCTGAACACAAGGAAAAACAAAGATAATCTTCAGTTTCAGAATAAAATATATTGTGCAGTAAAAGTAGGATAAGATAAAATGTGTTACCCAACTCTCAGACCATTATTATTGACGTTGAGTACTTTAAAACTTAATGTCTATTTTAGTTTAAATAATAGTAGTTAATAACCAGTACAGGAGTACTAAATGTCTTCGGAATATGAACCATCAAGAATCTAGTAACCACATGAATTGAAAGGGGTTGTTGTTTTTTTACAGGAGATGGAAGAAAATTACATGTACCTGAAATGATTCCAATAGAAAACCAACCTCCACTGCGAAGAATTACATCATTTTTTATTTGAATATGCTGAAGGTGAGCTATTTTTGGCCAGTCCTCCCCTGTTTCCTTCTGACATCGATTCCCTAACTCAGGGCAACCCCAAATTTCCAATGTTTTCAGATAGCTAAGGCGTTGAATGCTCATTGGAAGACACTTCAACTTGGGACAACCTGAAATACTTAATTTGTGAAGCAGGCCAAGGTTTCCCAAGCAGTCAGGCAGGGATCCTAGGTTTGGTAGATCACACAATGCTAATGTTTGCAGAACAGTCATATGCTGTAAAGCCTCATGCAAATCTTCAACCTCTGAGGAGCCCTCAATCGTCAATTCCTCAAGACAAGTTAGATATTGAATACCTACTGACAATTTGAACTTAGGAAACCCCACAATCTCTAATATCTTGAGAGAGTGCAATCCTTGCAATACTTCATCTGTCAATGATTGGAGGTTGTCGCAACCTTTAATATACAGTTCTTGGAGAGCATTAAGGTTAGCCATTTCAGTTGGGAGTACCTCAAGTCTGGAGTGCCAAGAAATGTCAAGTATCTTCAGAGAAGTAAGGTTTTGTAGCATACCATCAGGGAAGCAAGTTAACTCTTCATTTTTGTAGAAATAAAGGGATTCAAGACTACCGAGTTTATGAATTGAACTTAGTATATCTTGGTTGCATTCCCCTATTATACGTAGTTCATTGAGAGATGGAAGGCAAGGCAAGCCCAACAATTTAGGACATTGAGTAATTTCAAGTTTCGAAAGGCGCGGGAACATGTTTTCTCCATCCTCACTTGATAACCTTATCAGGTTTGGCAGCTCCTTCAGTAACAGAAATTCTAGAGCCATGAAACTTATCGCAACTCCACCATCATAGGACTTCTCTTGCAGGTATATTACATTACTCATATTAGATATACATAGTTCCTTTAGAGAAGGTAGTTTTCCCAGCAGGGGAAGTTGTAAACAACTTTTGCAATCCACGAGTCTTAAAGCATTTAAATATTCAAGAGAAGGACTAGACATCCATTGTGGAAATCGGGCACCTGGATATCCTCCTACACCCAAATTTTGAAGTTGTTGGGTATGAGGTTGAAGCACTTCAAGAATCTGCTCAACATTTTCCTGTACTTCGGACTCTTCATTTCTGCCCCATGACAGCAACAATGTGTTCAGTTGCTTACTCGACATATTGGCATCTTTGGCATCCATCACACTTTTTACTCTCTCAAGGTTCTTGATGTGAAGCACTCCTTTAAGGTTCAATCGTCCCAATTCTGCCAAAAGAAACCCTTTTTCCTTGCTAACAAAGTACATACTTAAAGTTCTTAGGGAAGTCAACTTCCCTATCTGAGGAGGCAAGCTTGTGAGTGAGAAGCAGTCCATCAAAGATAGATGTTGCAGAGCTTTCAATTGTATCAGACTGTTGGGCAACTTTTTTAGATCATAACAACAGTCTAATTTCAAAATCTGCAAATTCCATATCCTACAAAGGGATTCCGGAAGAGTTTCGAAGCGACCCATAGAAATATCCAAGTACCTTAGATGTTTTAAATGACCAATCGAAGCCGACAAATTGCTTAGCCCTGTGCTCTGAAGCACACGCAAAGAATAACATTTCAATACCTGAGATGGAAGTTGGTCATCAACATAGTTATACCGCTCTATGTAGGTCTTCAAGGCTTTGAGTTTGTGCAACCAAAATGACTTCCGCCTATACGTTGAGAGATGGCGAATTCTTTCGGACGTACTCTTTACATTATTATTATCATATGTGATGCAACAAACCTCTTCTGTGACAGATTGAGCGAGATCATGAACAAGATCATGCATTTTGAAAATTTTAATTTTGCCAAATATATCTGTCTGAATGTCTTGAAAGAATGATCTCCAATATAATTCATTCCATACCTCATCACCAATATCTTCAGCATTCAATGTTTCATTAGATGAGACGAATCCATTAGCCATCCAAAGTTCGATTAGAAATTGCTTTTCTATTTCTACATCTTTGGGAAATAATGCACAGAAGGCAAAACATTGTCTCAATTTTACTGGCAAGTTCAAGTAACTTAATCTCAAGGCAGGCATGACAGAGCCCTCATCTTGTAAACTCCATAGCTGGCTTTCCTTGACATAGAGCCATTCATTTTCCTTTCTTTTAAAACGCAAAAGACCTCCTAGTGCTTTTGCTGCAAAAGGCACTCCACCACACTTCTTTACTATCTCCTTCCCTAGGACCAAAAGGCCTTCTCGTTCTGCCTCATTTGGTCCAAAAGCTCGTTGTTTAAACAATTCCCAACAGTCATTGTCAGATAGCAACGATAATTCATGAGGAGGCACAGTTCCCATGATTGCTGCAACCTTGGGAAGACGGGTAGTGACCAAAATTGATGCACCCTTTGCTCCACAAGCCAATACAGATTTCAACCTCTGCCAATTCTCTTGTTCATCATCCCACACATCGTCCAAAACAAGCAAATATCTTTTTTGTTGGAGTAGATCCTGAAGTCTTCTTTGCAGTGGCTCTAGATCCATATCCGCACAGGGATGTCCAGATGCAGATTCCACGATAGCTTTTATCATTCTCTTCAAACTGAAATCTTCATAAACACATACCCAAATTCTTAGCTCAAAATGGTTGACTACCCTCTCATGGTTGAAGATGAGTTGGGCAATAGTTGTTTTGCCAAGTCCACCCAGACCAACTATCGGATACACAGATAAATCCTCAAAACCAAAAGCATCAACAACCAAAAAGTCTAAAATTGTATCCCTATCTTCTTCTCTTCCATAGATTTGAGGTTGAGTAATAACTGAGGTTGTTTGGCGCCAGTCAATGACACCAGTTCTTCTCTCTGTGACCGTCTCAGTCAAATGAAACTTAATCCTTTCTTCAGCAATTTGATCTAATCTCTCCCTTATTATTTTCATTTTCTTAGCAGTTTTGAGACGGAAAACAATATGGTTGGGATGAAAAGAGGATAAGCAAGAGCTTCGTACCTTTTCTGATTGTCCTTGGAACTCCATCTTATAATAGCCCATATTAATTAATTAGGAAATCAAGTGTAATTGATTAATTAAACATGTTTTACTAGGTGAAATTAAGTGTGAGGCTTAATAAAATGAATCTGAGTCACTTTGGAGTTAAAAAGTGTACTCAGTGAAAATTAAGGGGTATAAATGGGTACTGTCAAAAGTACCCAAAATATAAAAATAAAAATAGTAATATTCCTAGAATAATATTCCAGACTTTTGGGTAAAGTTTGGTAATTATTGGAGTTAAATAGATAGACGAACCAATACTCGCTTAGAGCCACTTAACCTATGTTAAGTGACTTAAGTCACCAAATGACCCTCATTTCCCACCCAGCCCGTCGACGCCCAGAAAGAAGAGAAGAGAAGAGGAAGGGAGGGAGAGAGAGAAAGAAAACCTAGGTTGTGTGATTTTCAACCGATTGGAGCGATTCAAAAGCCTAAATCACTTAGAATCTTCCCCTCTTTCATAATCCTAACTTTGTTTTGAGTGGGGAGCATTGTGGAGAGGGATATTGGCTCTCAAAAATTCGGCCCTTTGGTGAAAATTGGGGTTTTGAGAGTTTCTACCTCCATTGAAGCTTGAGGAGCCATCAATCCTTGGTTGTGTGACCATTGGTGGTAAGATTCTAACCCTTGAACCTCATGATTCCTTGAAATTTGCATGAGTTAGGGTTTGTGAATAGTAAATTGGGATTTTTATGAAATGTAGTTGAATTAGCTATGTTCTAGGAAGAATGGAGCTTAGAGCATGTTATGGAAAATGCTAGGAATGTCATTTAATCGGTGGAAATGAGCCTAGATAGTCATTTGATAATTGTTCATAATATTGGAAAATTCATGCTTGGATTGGTTAGTATTCTAGCATGTTGAACAATTAGTGAGTTGAATGATTGATTGGATCCTTGTGATGTCTAGGATTGAGACATTTGGACCAACCGTGAGTGATCAACCATTGGAGCAAGCTATGGAGCTTGAATAGCTCATTGGAATTGGTGTATGTTTGTAAAAGTTGATTGCTGAAACTGTTGGTGAAGAACAAAGGTTGACTGAAGCATTGAGGTAAGCCTTCGGACCTTGGGTGTAATTCCCTTGATTGTTCCACCAAGCCCTGAAAGGGTAGTGGTAATTATAGTGTATATAAATGCAATGAAATAGTGTAATGCTTTGTTATACGTATGTGTATGCATTTGGTGTGACATAGGATGGTGTTCCCTATATGGTATGTTGCATGACGATGCGTAAATCATACTTGGTAGTTTAGCTGGCCAGTAGGACTATTTGCATCTGAGTTTCCTTAGGACAGCTTGAGAGCTCGAGGGATTTCTCCTGGAGATGTATTGCACTTTGCATAGATATGTATTTACTGCATTATTATTGTTATTGCTATTACACTGATATGGAACTGTGGGGTGGAGAGATGCTCCAAGGACCCCTGGTTTACTGGATATATTCGTATATCTCACCCCGTGTTGTGGGGACCCCCTTTCAGGTAAGGATGCTGCAAGAGCCTCTGGTGGCAAGTGGCCATACCTAGATTATGCATGAAATATGGCACTTCTTTGAGTTTATGCATGCCTGTTGTAGTTGACATGTATAGGATTTTATTTTGAAAGCCCATGATCATTTGTATATCTTGATTCATTGGATGAACTTAGCCTATGCTCATGCCTTTGGTTACACCTTTTGTTGATGGGAGCCAAGGGAATGATCATAGTGTTTTGTAAGCTAAGTTCTATGATTTGTAAAGGATATGTAATGTAAATGATGCCTACTTGGAATTCAATATATGCATGCTTGTTATGTATTGAGTTGTTGAATTGGTTGGGCTGAAAATCAATTAGGTACCCTCTTCGTTTAAACTGGTAAACGATGAGAAAACAAAGGTCATGCTGCCCAAATTCTAGCTAAATCTCATGAGGAGAGGTTGGATGAGTGCTAGGATTTAGTTTTGGGGCATGGACATTTGGGGGTTGTAATGGGGATGCATTTTCCCCTAGGCTTGGACTTGAGAAATGTGGGAATTGGAATTCCCTGGCAGCGCGCCCAAGCGCTCTGCTGCCCCTGCGAGTGCCAATGCATTCTGCCTCCTCGCGCTGGAGCGCCCAAGTGGGGGCTTAAGCGCCCAGGATTGCGCGCTGGAGCGCCCTGGCGTGCGCTTAAGCGCCCCTTGCTGCAGAAAGTTGGGTGGCTTACTGCCCCCTCGTGTTTTAGCGCCCAGGGTGGGGCTTAAGCGCCCAGGGTTGCGCGCTTGAGCGCCCTGGTCCGCGCTTAAGCGCCCTTCGCCACTGAAGGGGAGATGCTTCTGTCTCTGCGCGCTAAAACGTCCCCGTGGGAGCTTGAGCGCCCAGGATAGCGCGCCTGAGCGCCCTGTTGCGCGCTTAAGCGCCCATCCACACTGGAATGCCTGATGCTTACTGCCTCCGTGCGCTTAAGCGCCCAGATGGAGGCTTTAGCGCCCGATAGCGCGCGCTTGAGCGCCCGGTAGCGCGCTGAAGCGCGCTGGGCCTGTGACCAACACTCTCTTGTGTTGCTCCAAATTGTCCTAACTTGGGCTACAGTGCCCCGATTTGAGCACGGTTTGAAGCCACAGGTAGCTAATGAAGAAACCTACAATATAGTAGAAGATGTGAACTAAATAAGAAGTAAATTAATGATTTAAAAATGGAATAAGAACATGATGTTAAGCTTAATTGATATGATTCCGCAAGGTAATACGGTTATGATCACGGAATTGGGTATTATAAATTCGGTATGTTTTAAAATGAAAAATTTATCCGGATTTTAATTGAACCCATGTGATTGTAACTGCGCTTAATATCATAATGCGATGTTAACAAACCAGTTCTAGAACGGGGTGTTACATTTTATGGTATCAGAGCAGTTTCGTTGGGAATAACTGTTAGCTATTGTTGAGTATGCTTAGTGTTCGATGCTTTATAGTTGTTTTAGTACTCTGTATGATTATTGCATTTGTGATCACTAAGTGTGGGCCTGATCAACTCACTTCTTTGTGTAACATGTGTAGTGACATGACGAGGAACCGAAACAACCCCGGACCATCAAACACCAATGCTCAGCCAGAACCTGTTTTGGCTGCTCTTGTGAGGCCTAGAAGTGGCCGTGGGGCAACGGGCGTACCGCCTGATCCCGTGGCTGAAGCTCTTGCAGCCGTTCAGAGAGAGTTGGCTGCTAGCAGGCAAGCCAATGAAAATTTGTTAAAGACAAATGAAGACTCGCGGACTGCTATGGCCGCGATGATGACTGAGCTGAGGACATTGAGGGGTCCTAGGCCCGTGAACCGGCAACCCACTCCTCCTCCTCACACTGCTACGCCTTCTCCACCTCCTTCACAGGAAGAGGGTGGAGTGGGTAACAATGAGGGTGAAGGTAGTCACCACTCTGGGAGTCGGAGTCATCACACCGAGGTTCGTCAACCTCAAGTTGAAAATGTCGGTGATCATGAAATGGAGGAAAGGAGATTGATGGCTTTCCGAAAACATAAACCTCCTTCTTTTAAGGGAGGTTATGAACCAATGGCGGCTGCAAAATGGCTCCAAGCGATGGAGAAAATATTCAGGGTGATGAGGTGCCCTGACGCAATGAAGTTGGCTTACTCTGTTTATATGCTGGAAGAGGAAGCAGAAGATTGGTGGACAAATACCGTGCAGCCATTAGAAGCTGAAGGTCGGGAGATCACATGGCGGTTATTCGAGACATTGTTCTTGGATAACTACTTCCCTAGAGAGGCTAGGGAACAAAAGCAGAATGAGTATAACGATCTCAAACAAGGGTCGATGTCTATTGACCAATACTTCTCAAAATTCAATGAGTTGGTGAAATACGCCAACTATGGGCGAGCCTTACCCACCCCGGCTGAAATGACCTCCAAGTTCCAATGGGGTCTTAATGAGAAGATGTCTCGGAAGATGTCAAATTGTGACATCCGAGAGTTCAGTCGGTTTGTAAACCAGTGTAGAAAGGTGGAAGAAGTGTATAAGGTGTCCCAAGCCAAGAAGTCTTCTGAGGCCCAGGCACCTAGTTCCAATAAAGCAACGGGCTCAGGTTATTGGAAGAACAGGAAGGTGCAAGGCAAGAAGCTGAATGCGAATAAGCCCTTTGACTTGTTCAAAAAACCCGGTACTCAGAAGAAGTTTGTTGATAGAGGACCTCCTCCCAAGTGCAAGGGATGTGGCAAAGAGCATAGAGGTCCATGTGCTACTGGTGAGGTGATTTGCTTTAAATGTGGAAGATCCGGTCACTACTCCAGGCAGTGTCCTCAGAACGAAGCAAGGACTATGGCAGTTCAAGCTACTGCTGTTCCGGTCTCTGTTGTTCAACCTATGCTAGAGTCTCAGACGGTTGGTAGAGTATATACCATGGACCGTCAACAATCGGAGAAGGCTCCGAATCTAGTGAAAGGTACAATTTACATTGATAATATGGATGTTGAAGTGTTGTTTGATTCAGGAGCTACACACTCCTGTATGTCTGATTTTATGGCCGTCGGTCTAAATTTGCAAATGTATGACATTCGCCCTCCAATGAAAGTGGTTACAGCTACTGGAGAGGAGTGTTATACATCGGTGTTGTGTAAAGATGTCGAATTCAAATATGAAGGCCGAGATTACGTGCTGGATTTTATTTGTTTACCTATGATCAGCCTTCAAGTTATCTTGGGTATGGACTGGTTGTCAAAGAACTGTGCTATGATAGACTGCTGCGGTAAAAGGATTGTGCTTGATGCTGATGATTCTGCTACTAGTTCTTCCCCATATCTATCTGTGTTGCAGGTTAGAAAGGCTTTGAGGGCCGGGGCATTGGGATATGTCTTTGTGGGGGGTTTAGTAGGCGGAAGTCATGAGGAGATTGGCACTATTTCCGTGGTGAGGGAGTTTGTGGATGTGTTTCCAGATGAAATTCCACAACTTCCGCCTCATAGAGAGATTGAGTTCACGATTGATCTGTTGCCTGGTGTGGGGCCTATCTCTCTGGCTCCGTATAGGATGTCACCACCGGAATTAGCCAAGTTAAAGAAACATATTGAAGAGCTTTCGGCTAAGCAGTTTATCCGG